TATGCTTACGTGAATTCTCCAAAACATTCCTGTGCATTACATGGCCCATCTGACCGCAGTTTGTGATTTTTATTAAAGATAATCCTTTGTCGTGAACATACATTGTGGTGGGCCCATACCCTGCATTGTATGGCTGCTTTTCCTGTCTAGATTTGTTTTAGTCATACCTCATTTAGTTGTACCTCTTTCTAGTTGTTGATCTGTGCTTTCATTACTGGTCAATATGGCTGAGGGTGGCTCTTTGTTGGACCTGAGGTGGAACTGTACCATCACCTGCATCAGGTAGTGCAGAACGCAGCGAGATATACTGATGATTACTTGATGAAAGCGAAGTTCTGAACTATGTGAGCGAGCACGTAGATTAGTTGATGAGAAGCTTAAAAAGAAATGCACTGACAAATATCCACTGAGGAAATTTGCAAGGAACATTAACAACGATATTGCACAGTGAAGTACTGACAGGTAAATTCTGGGAAAATCATTTCGATCTAATAACCATTATAGGTAATGCACAGAAACTTATAACTGAACCAACTATATACGAAGAGAAATTGACAGCAGTCAAATTGGATATTGAAAACTGCTTAAAGGTATTGCAAGATGTGGTTGAAGAGCATCTTTGTGTCCTGCCCGGCGAAGAGAGTACAGTGTTGGGAAAGGCTCTTGACAAGATTTCTGAAAGCTCCAGACAGGCCATCAATTAACTTGACAAGGCTCAAATAGTATTTCACAACAACAAAGACCTCATGTCAAGGTTGCCTATCAAGCATGAGGGATCAAAATCATCTTCAGTCTCCAGATATTCCAAAGCTTCAAGCAGTTCATACTGGCGTCGAGAAGCCGCAGCAGAGGCAGCTGCCTTGAAAACTAAGTTGGAGGCCCAAATACTCCTTAACAAGAAGCAAGAAATGATAGAAGAAATTGAGTTTGAAGAAAAACAAAAGTTTGCAAACAGAAAGGAAAATGTCTAATTTGAAACGCGAATTAGAAGAACAGAAACTAGCTGCCGAGTTGAAGGCAGAAGAAGCAAGACTTAAAGTGTATAGCGATGAAGAAGATGACTCTGATTCGATTAGCAGCACATCTCAACTGTCAAAGAAAGTGCCTGATCTTAAGCACTTGTTCACAAGTCCAACTGTAAAGAAGGAAAACGTACCTCCTGAGAAATGTGCTCCTCCAACGCCATACACCAAGAACATGAACACAGACACCCAAGCTCACCTACCATCTTCGGAGTTGACAGCAGAAATGTTTGCCCGGACAGTTGCTATGAGCCGTCTACCTTCTCCTGAACCCCAAGTCTTTACTGGAGACCCACTTCAATACCCAGATTGGATATCGTCATTCACCACCTTGATCGGAAGTAGAGGCATTCCACAGGGTGAGAAAATTCATTACCTAAAACGTTGTTTAGGAGGCTAAGCAAGAGAAGCAGTGAGTGGATTTTTTCTTCTACGGAGCCAAAATGCCTTTGAGGAAGCAAAATGTGTTCTTGAAAAGAGATTTGGCAATCCTTTCGTCATTGCGGAAGCCTTCAGATCAAAGCTTGATGTGTGGCAACAGATTCAAACCAGGGACAAAACAGGTTTACAAAGATATGCAGACTTTTTACAACAGTGTGTTGTGGCTGCTACTGAAATCCGAGAACTCCACATACTTGATGACATGAGAGAGAACAGGAGATTAGTATCCAAACTGCTGGAATGGTTAGGTCATAGGTGGAATCGTCTTATTGCTAGAAACAAAAGAGAGTGTGAATGTTACCCATTGTTTCAAGACTTCGCTACCTTTGTTATGGAGGAGTCAGAAATATTAAATGATCCTGTCGTAGTCTTTGAACCAAAGCAATTCAATGCAATAGAACCAGATGGTAATCATACTTACAGGAAGTCGAATAATTATTCTCGTTCACAACCCTCGAAAAGGTTGTTAGCAACTATGGTCCAGACAGTTGATAAATCAAATGAATGCATATTCTGTGATAAAGGAAATCACACTGTTCAAGATTGTCGAAACATTTCCCGGAGAACCATGGACGAAAGAAGAGACTTTATAATGAAGAAAGGCCTCTGTTTTTTAGTTGTTTTGGAGAAGGCCACATGTCAAGACAGTGCACCAACAGGTGTGAGTGCAAGGTTTGCCATAAGAAACACCCCACTAGTTTGCATGACAGAGATAAATACTCTAAATCAGGTAACAAGACATCTGAAACCCATGAGATTGAACAAAGGGAAGCTACCTGTCATAAAGTGTTAAGCGGTAACAAAGAATCAGTTTTCTTTATGGTAGTGCCAGTATGGGTATCGTGCAAGGAAAACCCACAGTGAGATGCTGGTCTATGCTCTGCTCGACACTATGTCAGATGTCACATTTATATTGGACTAGATTGGGGAGGACCTACAAGCACACTCTAGTCCAGCAAAGCTACGTTTGTCAACGATGACTTCAAAGGGAGACCTTGTAAAAAGTAATAAAATATGAAAATCTTGTGGTGACGATTCAACTCTATGTCAAGGATTCCTCTCCCAACAACATATTCCAGAGATCATATCCCACTGGACAGGTCCCACATTGCTACACCTGAAATTGCTCGTGAATGGTCTCACCTTCGTAAGATTGCAAATCTGCTGACTCCTAAGCAGACTGCCCAG